ATGTGAGGCTGGGGTGCTATGCTCCATGGCCAATGGGTGGGGCTTGCATAAGGGGTGGTATTATTAATCGCTGTTAACAGACCCAACTACCGTTTAAAACCATAAACTATAGAGGGGCCAACATATGTACGCTCGGCACAAAATAAGGTCGATCTCATCTTCAGGACCAGTAAATTTGAAAGCCGACTCATGACTGGCGATATTCTTGGTGCATGAAAGTAAAGGAAAATTTCCGTTTCACGCATTCGATCTCTAGTGTTGTAACCACAAACTCCGCCAATAAGCAACTTAAACGAACAACAACCTTCCATTTTTTATGTAATAAAGTTGAATGTGTAAGTTAGTGTATTTATGAAAAACAAAGTCCGAAGCCCCGCCTCTAAGCGAACAATAGGTATCGTGTAATTACCATAAACCAGGTTTTGTCTACTTAGGCTTACTATTTTTAGCAGGTACTAAATATAGCTTTCCAACGAGTATTAGCCAAAGGCTCGATCTCTGCGACTTACATGTAAGAGATTTGGATGTTCACAACAACAAAAAAGCTTAGCAGCAGAGTGACGGCTTTTTACTTTCCCCTTTTTTCCAGCCTCGTATGGGTTGAATCATATTAAAGTAGGCGTGTGACTCGCAACTGGAATGTTGACCGCGAAAGGTCGAATAACTGCATTTTAACGGACTTTGAAAAGCTTTCGTATCGCTCTCAATCATTTGCCCAAAGAAATTTGTATAGTAATATTGAGAACATCTTTTCGTAATTCAACCGCCCAAAGCTTAATCCATTTGAAGGTTTAGCACATGCTGAAAATTAACTTTACTCACAAAGTACTTTTACTGAAGAGAAATGTATGCTTTCGAAATTAAATTATTTTACACGCAAAGAGGAACGCAGTGTTTACAAAAATCGTTTTGTGAGGTCTTATGAGGTTAAAAAAGAAGATTTGAGTGTTAAAAAGACGAGATTGTGATTCGTTTTTGAATGCGAAGCCCTCAAACTTGTGCAATAATTTGCAGCTAAAAATGACGATTTTAACATTTTTTTATTTGTATTTTTCTCTGAAATAAAAAGACATTTTGCCAAAAAAAGTATCTAGTGATTTTAGTTATAGTCTAGCCTATCCAATATTAAAATAAGAGAGAAATCGAATTTTTCACCCTTGCCGCGAAATTTAGAATTTGTCTGATTTTTACAGACAAGCGCTCTTAATTTTGGAGTTGGATCGCTCGAGCAAAGTGTTAAGCTGGGTCGGCTCGTAATTTTCGATTTTCTCGGCAATTCCCTTCTCTAAACACCACTTTTTCCAAACCGACAACCAAAAAGCAGTGCTTTTTACAGTGTTTTCGTTGTTTAAGCTGTTTTTCAGCTGCGGTGGCGAAAGAAAGCGCGCGCCTGAAATTGAACAATAAAAATGAAACAAAGCCCTTAATTGCGCGCGTCAGGGAGTAGGCGCCAAATAAGTTCTTTCAAAGTTTTTATCAATTACATAAATGCAGAAAAGGTCGCAACAGGATGTGTGGTAAAAAATGCAGGAAGTTGCACGTTCCTCCAGTTGCTTTATCATACGATTACTGGGTTTTGTGCTGATGATCAAGTTTGCTTTTATGCCTTGAATACGATTGCGAGGGCAAACACGAAAATTTTAATTTCTTCTCATAAAGAAACGACAGTCATGTCATAATTCGATATAACGCCTGTCTACCTATGGTCTCATTATGTTACAGAAATAGCATCTACGAAAACATTAAGCTTTCACAGATAAAACACCTGCGCCTTAAGAGCTTCGAGAATCACAACAAATTTTGACTCAAGGAAGTTTTGCAAAATTATTATAATGGCAACACCATCTTTTTTGTTACCCGTCCGAACTCAAACACAAACCTTTATCGAGGTCTCTTTGGTCGCTCTGCTTTTCATATGCGCAGTTTCAGGAAACATCATCGTCTGCTGTGCGGTGTACAAAAAGACAAACCTCCGTACCATTCCCAATGCGATTTTCGTAAACCTTGCCGTATCGAACTTGTTGCTGGCACTGTGCCAGCTTCCGATGCTGATCACTACCATCATCAGAGGAGAATGGAGTTTTGGAGAGAAGCTCTGTAATTTTTACGCTTTCCTCGACGTTGCTTTGTTTGCCGTTAGCCTTTTCAACCTCACTGCGATCAGCGTGAATCGGTATTTCAAGATAGTCAAACCTTGCAAGTATAGAAGTGTGTTTTTCAAGACGTCTGTCATCTTTATGATTGTGTTGATCTGGTGTTTAGCGATTTTTTTGAGCAGTGGACCGTTTTTAGGATGGGGGAAATATCAGTTTATTCCCTCCAAGGCAATTTGCTCGATCTCAGAAAAGGCTCACATCTCCTTTCGTATCACTAACTATGTGGTGATTTCTTGTTGCATCCTTTTCATCATTGGCTGCTACATCAAAATCGCGCAAGTTGTTCGTCGCCATAGAAGAAGAATCGCGGTACCAAACAAAAGGTCCCAAGATGAGGACCCAAAGCAGGTGCCACGTCCAGGGCCCTCCAGAGCCACAACAGAACCGCATGTAACCGAGCTCAGAGGAGAGGATATCCATATCGCCCGCACCGTATCGGTGATAGTGTTCCTTTTCTGTTTGAGCTGGGTCCCAAATGTTACCCTTAATATTCTCGTATCACGTGGCGTTCCCGTGTCTCGCGAAGTACGCATGTTCGGCGTTTACATGATGTTTCTCGATCTCGTCATTAATCCAATGACGTTCGGGATAAGAAACAGAGAAATTCGAAAAATGATAAAACGCTTATTTTGCAAGAACTGAATAATTTCATTTCTAATTTAGCTGTGAATGTTCACTCTACACCTGTTAACAAATTGAGACGAAGTCAATTTATATAGAAAGTTGTAAACAAGTTTTAACTTAAGGTTATTTAGCTGTCAAATATTACAAAGAGAATGTCATCTCAGCTATAAACTTATACAAATAAAAGTCTCAAATTAGAGACATTTTGGTTATTTTAAAGCGTTTTTATGGCATAAGGTTTTCTTTTCCATCCCGCTAGAAGTTGATGTGACATTTAGCAAAGTATCCAATTTCCATTCCGAATTTAATGAACGCAGTCCGAACAAACTGGTGACCTAGTGTTCGATCAATTAAGACAATTTATGTCAGAAGTGATTATGCCATGTTATGCCTTCATTCAGTTTTGTTTTTAATCTGAGTTGTTATTGTGGAAATCCGCTTACTAAAAATAAAATATGTAGTGACAACTTGTTCAACACCTCATTGTTTCTTTTCGTTGTTCTACTTTTGTTACTTTTTCACATGACTTATGTTTTACGACTTTTTATGTGTTTTATGCAGGGGTAGGGTGGGTAGGGTTACATCATCGAGGATGGCAAGAAAAGGCTATCAACTGCATCAGCTAAAGTTATGACTACTGATCCTTGGCGGTAATTATTACTCCGGCATAGAGTTCTTTCTTAGCGACGGGAAGAGTATTGAGTCCAGTTTGAAATCATTAAATTGACAGAAACTGACTCTAAAAGGTTTGATGTTTTCTTGGCTTGCATCGTGTAGCTCTAGGGACCGAAAATGTGGTTCAAACTTCATGCAAGAACCTGTCAAGTCCACGAGTAACGTGAAGCAAAGAAAACCGAGGAAGCCAAAACACTGAAGCCAAGGAAAATGATATTCAATTGACAAAACGAGGAAAAGCTTCTCAGATTACACTCTGATCAGCGTTGGAACCATCGAAAAACAAGCTGTAAGCGAGAACTTTGAGGGGAAATGGAAACCTCATGTTCAGGCCATACAGTGAATGATATGGCAAAGACAGGTCGATTTCTTTTCCATGGATCATCGAAGGTCTGAATAAGTTCTCCTAACTGGTTAAGCTTAATCTGATCATGCCTTCTAATTTCTGGAGTACTATAAAATGCTGAATTCTATGGTTCAAACAATAGATCTTCGGATATGATCAGCTTTTATTTATAGTTTTGTTTTAAGCAAGTGTAGCGTATCTTTCCCTTGAATTAACTTTATAATTCATGGCTAATGGTATAGCATACCTCCTCGTATGTTAGGTAATGATTTGAAGAGAACTGTGGAAAGGTTTGGGTTGTCTGGAATTTTATAAACAATTTTCACGCAATACCTGCATTTGAGGTGATAGTAAATTGTGTACGTGGAAGTTAAAGAAGTTCCTACTGGTGTGAAGCACGAAATTATTCTATTCTGGCAAAGCTATAAAGTGCAAAAAGGTAAGCAAAAAAGTCAGTTTTGGATTTGGGTGGCGCTTTAAATGGTAGAGGATACACTATTCTAGTGATTTTAATGACTCTTGGTAATCTGACGTTGATCGTCAGTCGATAAACGGTTGAACTGCCCTTTCCCACATTTTGCAGGTTTAAACGACTTAACAATTTCACAAATAGATCCCATGTTACCACATTAGAAAATTTAGAATCTATTTGTTTGATATAAAGGGAAAGCAAAATGCTGTTTATAGTGACATCATCTATGCGTCTGTCCCTAAATTCAACCATTTTGAACGGATCAAAATTTGTTTGGAATTTTAAAAATTTTCATATAAAAAAGGGAGAAAATTCATCAACTCAACGAATCCACAAGTTCAGCGCATAGGACTGGGATGCAGTTTTTCCTGTATTAGCGTCATAACCAAAGTCAAATTCATCTGTGCCCCCATCTACAAACGAAGCAGCGTTAGCCTCTGTAATTCCAATCCCGTGATCTGCACGATCACATTTACTTCCTCCTCCACCAATCATCATCACTGCTCCATCACCAGAGCTCCAATCACACCAAAAGCCAATCTTGTTGGGACTTTGGATGGTTCCGTTGCACTCAGCTTGTTGAAACCCGTCTGTTGACATATATTGTCCGCCATATATAACCGTACAGTTTCCTAAACACTGGTCACTGGCCCAAACTGTGCCGTTTCTAAAGTTTCCATAACTCTTGAGTTTAGATCGGAATGTTTGTCCGGTCAAACAGTTACCTGTGGTCTGTAACAGGGGAATGTGATTGGTGTCATCACTGCGCGTGATTTTAAGCTCATTTCCGCTAGTCAACCAAAAGGTGGGTGAGATCATGTCGGCGTTTTCAGTAGTACTACTTGTTGTCCCCATGGCAACTTGCTTGTCGTACCACCAATAGCCGCTATCAGCCATCCAGTTCTTGGTGTCGTCATTTGAAAATCGAGCGATAAGAGTCCATCCAGCGATTTTCCAAATCGAAACGACTGAAAATCATAAGAAAATAAATTCAACTAGACGTAAAATGGTCCAGAGGAAATAAGTAACAAGAATTGAAATATTTGATAAAAAGCCCAAAACGACCCAGTATTTCAGTCCTCCATCGATAGGAAAATGTACATTGAAAGAGTCTTACAGATTGAACGTTAAATTGAAGGTGTGTTACCAGTTTCACAATGTTTCCCTGTGTAGCCATTCACGCAATCACACGTGTAGTTGTTCCTCTCGTATAGTGCGGCGCACTTTCCATTGTTTTGGCAAGGCGAACTGATACAAGGAGACTAGAGAATTTAAGAATAAAAAGATAATTATCCAGATTAACATATTTGGTAGTACATGTTTTTTCTAATCACAACATATCCAACTTTGCGCGCAGGAGCAGCAATGAAAGGCATGAATGAAACCTGATCGATCCTTTTCTAGGCCTGGTTCATGGCAAAAGATCGTTAATCCAGACGCAATTCAACTCAAAAAGAAGCAATGTGAAGTTTTAAATCTAACACTCACCCTGATACTATAGTGATGGCGACTCGAGCTGTATACAAACTTGTCTGAGTTGTTGTACATGTCCGATGGAAGTAACTCACACAGCACTTTACCGACTATATCTTGAATTAAAACCAGGTTGAAGGAGAAACACGACGGTGTGTTGACACAAGCAAATCCACACTCGCCACCATTCATAACGTAATTCGAAGCAATACCAGTGATGTTCAGATACGAAAAGGTGTGAGACATAAAATTGGCATAAGCCACTCCAGACACTCCAGTATCATTACCTCGGCTAAGCGTTCTACTGCGTACATCGACGATTTTTGCTTCAAAAAAAGAGGGAGGTGATCGAAATCTCTACTTTCTAAGGATTCTCATGCATCTAACAGTTGGCAATTGAGATTGCCATTACCAGTGCATAAATTATTTTAACTCCAGAATAATCGTGTCATTTCCAGCCATATTTTATTTTCTGTTGCAGAATTATATTATGATGAAGTAAACACCTAAATTAAAAAAATAGGTGTACATATCATTTGTTATTATTGTGCAGCATAGAAATTTTGCGGCCTTAAATTTAACGAGTTTGGTAGATCGATAAAAAAATTGGGTAAAAATGGGCTCCCACAGTAAAAACATTCTGTAACTTCTTTACGAAGGAACTGACTTGAGACTTTCCTTACAATGGGAATTAATCTTCGTCAACTTTGAAATTTTCATTTCTTTTCGCTCGATCGCAAATCTGCATGCGTTTAAAAGGACACACTAAATACTTCATTTGAACATAAGCATTTATGCTACCTGTAAGGAAAACGACCCTTAGTAGTTAGATAGGCTGTGGCTGTACGATTTAAAGACAAAAACGTTTTGACAAATATTGAATTGTTAGTAGCTACCTCACCTTGATTTTCACCAAAGCAGCAATGAGGCCACCATTCCAACAGAGAAAATAGAAAGGCAGCAAAAAGCATGACGAGGAAGAAGGTTTTCAGTCAATGATACTTGATACTTCAGTCGGACACTAACACTCATGAACAACTGTACATTATTCGTTTTCCACGTTAGCGCCGGTTTGAACAAGTGGCCGTCAAGTTATTTGTTATCTACTGACCGCATCAGTCGTCACTTATGTAACACAGCAGGTATTGCAAATATTTATTGTTACAAAATAACTGAAATATAGTATATGCCCTGAGTGGTCAGAGACCTATCGTTTCTCGAACCGGTTATAACCAAACTTATTTTACAAAAGCAACAGACCGCACGCAATGACCCACGCGCAAAAGAAAAGCCTCCGGTTCGTGATTTCCAAACCTTTCTCGTGTTCTCCTAACTTTTACTAACGTTGTATTAAGCCGGTAAACAAATAGACCCGCGGTCTATTTCTTAACTAAATGTGATAAATCGTCGAATAACATGAGACAGGTGTAACGCAAACTTTACATTGTTTTTTGTTATAACATCTCCTGTGCTAGAAACACCGACCGTGAATAATTAAATCTTTTCTTTATTCCATCTTGTGTTCCGTTTCGTTTTGAATGAATTTAATCTCATCGACGGCCAGAGGCATGCGGCTAACGCTAACAGCAAATGAAACAAGCACGCTTAAGACTTTGCTCATCAAAAGAGAATATTTTAAGTCTTTAAGGATCTTATTGAGTGCTGCTACACTTTTAATTATCGCAAATAAAAAATATTTTCAGCAGTTAACCCCGGATAGTTGGGAAAACAGGCTTCTTCCTCTTAATCACCCGGGTAGAAATGTGAATGTTATCGCGACTTGTTCAATCAACTTTCCCCGCAACTATGTGGTTCAACCTTTTTTGTCGCTTTTAGGTCTCGCCTTCTCCTTGTGATATTTCACGTTGTTGGAATCGCTGCAAAGAGAGAATGTCTATTTTCATTTCCAGATAGAAGTAGTCGCTTGAAAGGGGTTGTCACTTTAGGGGGTAAAGTTTAATCATTAGAGTCTTAATAAAGTCATTCTTTTACTTCCTAGGGGAGAAATGGCTGATTATATAAACTTCTATTTATCACAATGCGTTCAAAATAACTGGTAACAGCAAGGTCTATGGCATTAAAGCGACCCAAATGTGATTGAAAGCTCTCTGGAGCGGTGATCGCACCGTTCGGATTGTATGATTTTTGTTCCGAAACAAATGCATGGGAATAGTGATATCTATCTTGGCTTGGTCAATGTCTATCAAATTTACCTCGTTTAATGAGTAAAGTGGATCGTCCGTGTGTTAGTTGCAAACTTATTTGAAAATGTTCGTAATTACTCAAATCACCTGCTGATTATAGTGAAAGATGGTTTTAGGATGAATAAAGCTGTACGTAGCTTGAAGTTTATTACTCTGAAAGAAAAAGCATCATTTTCATTCTCGTCTTTATCAACATCACTAGTATTGTTGCTACTATTATCAATAATATATAGATTTAGCCAAGCCTAAAAGCGGAGCTCGCATTTTTCTTCCCACAAACCTTTAGGGCACAACGCCTTGCCCCGGCTTGGACTAGAACCCGGATCGTCCGACTCGGAGCTCAGTGCACTGACCACTAGACTACTGGACAAAGCCGTGGCGTTGGTGTGCCCGCGGTACAGTTGACCACGCATGTTAAAAGTAGCATCTTGTACGGTCGGTCGTACGGTCATAAGTCCAAATTTTTTCGGCTTGATGGGTTACTACTATTTTGTATAATTATGGGGCTACGCCCTGCGAGCTCCGCTATTATTGACAGGAATAACAGGCATCATTGGGTCTCCATGCCCTTCGACCATCTTTACCAAGTGTACTAAGTGCGACAAGTAATACTCTGTGATTGGTCCAGAAAACTCATATCATCCTCTCAACCAATCAGAAGTAAATCGAAAACGAATCACGATTTGTCATCCGCGTCTTCCCGCGCTTTTTACACTTTGCCTGATTTTTCATTAAATTCTCGTTGGCTAAGGACGAAGTGAACCATTTTTTTTTATGAGCCTTTGTGATAACCGTGGTATTGGATTTACGAAACTGAATTGAAACCTGCTCCATAGAGCGGGATGAAGCAAAACCCATTAAAAACCTGCGTTACTTACGACACTCAGGTAAAAGTATGAAAGAGGCTGTGCCCAGCAACCATATGCATGGCTACTTTTGTGCTGTGACCTTCATTGTTCCCAAGCATCGTACGTATAGTGTAACTAACGTTATTCTTTACATCAAGTGCAGTGGCTTTCCTCTCGAGTCCTTCCTTTGTCGTTATGCGCTACTTTAATTATGACAAAGATGTATTTCCCAGAACATTAAGAAGCAGTGGTAAACTTAGACTTCCGTCTATAAATTTAGAATGTACAAAAAAGGGCTATTTTTTTATCATGGCTTTGTAATTTTTAATCAGATTTTAAGATTTCTATGATTTTTCTTGTAATTTAATGTCTTTTTGAATTCAAGCCCTTTGAATAACATTTCATAGCTATTTTTAAATGTACTTGGGTATCACTATTATTTCCAGTCAATTTAGTTTATCATGATATGTAGGGCCTCAATGGATAGCAGTTTTTATCTTGTGCAAAAACTGTAGGAGCTACCCTATTGAAATAAAGGTTTCTTACTTACTTACTTACTAAACAAAATGAAGCGAAACGGAAAGTGAAGAAACCACATCTATTTGCGGCATGACTGTTTCATTATTATTTTAGACAGTTCTATAATAAGATGAAATTTTTTCTTTTTCAAGCACAAATTCAGGACACATGTCGCAGGTTAACGAAAACTTTCACCAGCGTCATCGACAACTAGATTATGTATAAATTAAAAGCTAATAATGTCTGGCATTTACGCAAATTGGACGTACTGCAATTGATTTCGGCGAAGAACTAAATAATGCTTTTATAATAAGATTCCAATCAAGCGAGATTCGAGCCATGCTCATAAAAAGAAACACTAAAATTTTAAAGCTCAACTTGATTTATTTCTTAGCCTGTAGGTTTCTTTTCTTTTCTATTTCTTTCTTGAATGTCGGAAAAAAATAGTTTATAACGATACTTGACGGTCAAAATTTTTATATTTGCGTGTGTGTGTGTTTACGTAAGGCACAATAGCGGTTGACAGTCATTTATAGCAGTAATTTTGCAGATCATCTCTTGGAAACGAAGTGCAATTATCTTTAAGCTTCCTGTCTGTCTCAAAAGCCCTAACAACTTATTTTACATGAAAAGGCGCAAAATGAGTGTTTCCATAACCATGTATTGTTCCTTGTCAAAATAGAACTATATTGATTTCATTACACGTGAAAATGAAATAGAAATTTGTCCTAAAATGCTCGTTGATAACTCAGACTTTTTAAGTAATAACAAAGATGGCATGTAGCTTTCCTTATTAATGCAGGATCGTTCCTGAAAAACTTGATTGTGTTTACCGATGGTAAATTCTATTTCCTGATTTAAATATTTGTAACCCCATTGGGGTCATTGGGGTACACATCTATACGACTGCTGGTGTTATTTTCAAACGCAGGTCTGCTTTCGTCATTGACGGCTCGAACCAGTGATTGAGCAGGAGTATTCGGACCACGACTTATTATTCTCGAGCGCTTAGATGCACCAGATTTTAATTGGAAAAGCAAAATCTTTGATATCATTCATTTCGCCGACATAAATCCTAGAATCACTTACTTTGGTGAAACACCAGCTCGGGTAAAGATGGCGTCAACCAACATGAATTGCACCGCAAACCCCTTGAAACAAAATGGCATATTTCCCCCTTTAGAATACAGAACCACAACTCAAGTTTTCATCGAAGTTGCACTTGCTACCACGATTCTTATTTTGGCTGTCTTCGGGAATTTCTTGATGATTTTCGTCATGTGTGGGAAGAGGCAACTTCGAACTATACCCAACTTGTTTGTCATGAATTTATCTATTGGAAACTTTCTTCTCGCTGTTACCGTCCTTCCGGTTTTTGTGTGGACTCTTCAAAGAGGAAAGTGGACTTTTAGCAAGATGTTCTGCGTCATTCAAGGATATCAGAGTTATCTCTTATTTTCCCTTACTTTATTCACTCTAACTGCAATAAGCTTAAGTCGCTATATGCTGGTCTGTCATCTCAACAGATACCGGGAACTATTTGACAAAAGGCTGGTTCTGAAGATTCTCGGTTTCATTTGGATTATCTGTACTTTGAGCTGTGCACCGCCACTTTTTGGATGGGGTTATTACAGTTTCAACGCGCGGACGGCTCTGTGTCACACAGACAACAGTAGTTATTCCTATAAAATCACCGCAAATACTTTCATGTTACTGGACATCATCATTGTAATCTTTTGTAATGTAAAAATCGCGAGAGCAGTAACTTGTCATCGCAAAAGGATTACAGTAAATGTGGTTACAAAGAAGCTAAAAGATGGAGAAAGCCAGTTCAACATGGCAGGAGAAGCGGATACAAACGCGAAACAAAGCAATAAATTATTATTCAAAGACTTGAACAGTGATTCACTTAGTGGTCAGAAGTCTAAAAAATTACACGCAAACGTACACCTAGGCCTCTGCGAGGATCGGTCTGGTGTGATACCCGTGAAATTCACTTTCTTATCACAAAAACAGCAGAGTGCATTAAATGGAGGGAGACAAGACATAAAAACTGTAAATAATCTTGAAGGGACACTTCATCTCCATCAAATCAGTTCTACAAATCAATCAAATGCTATCTGCCTAAGCAAGAACTCTACCCCTACAGAGCACGCAAAAGAAAGTACACTTCAGCTGCAAACGAGAGAGACGCGCGGGGAAGACATTCATATAACACGAACCGTCTCGCTTATAGTTTTCGTGTTTTGCTTTTGCTGGCTGCCATGTTTTATCATGGATACCTTGGACGCGTTCGGCGTTTTCCCGCCAAGAAGTCTCCGAATGGCGGGAATTTACTTGATATTTATGGACAGTGTCGTTTGTCCGTTAATTTACGGGGTACGAAACAGAAAAATAAGGAAAGTTGTTATGGAGGTGCTAAAATGCGAGTTTTGCCGCTAACCATTGATTGAGCTATATTTGAAATCATCTGCTCATGACACCATCAGTAAAGTGATAGATTATAGGTCAAACGTCTTCGGTAGCTGTTGGGGTTAATTAGGAAGAAGGGTTTCTGGGTTTTCTCGTCATTATTTGGGTTTGTGCACCTAACTTACAATTAAAAGTTTTGTATCCAGTTTCTATTACTCAAGTAAGCGATTTTTCGGTTTTGTTATTCGCCAGTTTCGTCATTATCAATTCAGTTTCTGGCCGGGTTTTCTGGTAAATTTTTATGGAAATTTTAGCTCGTGCTCCGTTATCTGATAGGCTTCAATCCCGATAATTAGACAAAAGTGAATCGAACTTGAGGAGGTTCAGGCCCGTAATAAAACATTAATTTTCTGCGCTACGTATTGTTTTTCATTTTTCAGAGCATGCGAAAACTAGAGGATCAATGCCAAGTGATCTAGAAGCTCTCCGCACAAAGTTTGGTCAGCTGCGTTTACATGTCTGTTGGTCTTTTTGTTTATTCTTGACAAGGTGGCAAGACCTCTTCAAGAATATTAATTAAATGCACTTTTCTGAGTCTATGCTGTGTAAAGTCAACGACGAAATCGTCTCTTACCTTTTTATATCGATCGTTTCATATTGAAATAATTACAGTTTAACACAAACCCTAGCGACGTATCTTCAGTATTCAATGGACTTAAGTCTTTTTAAACTTTTGACTCCCAGAGTGATAAAGGAGTAACTTCTCCCTAAAATTGTAAGACATCATACTGCAACCAAGCTTTGAGAATATAGAAACTCATCAGCTGGAGAGTGCCACTGATATATCACCATTTTTTTCGTAATGATTTAGGAAATGTAGCGAATTTCGAAGAGCAGCTAAAAAAACAGAAATTGAAAATCAGGTCTTTCCAAGTTAGAGGCTTCATTTGCCTACTTTATTTGATTTTGCTTTACAAAAGAAAATATTTCGATTTGTGTCGTAAATTACCGGATCTTACGCACGTGCCGCTAAGATAAGCGCGATTCCTTTTAGGTAACAAAAGCGATACAATTGCAAATCAAATTAAAAAGCTGTTGCTTAAGATAGAACAGGGTTAATTTCAAAAGCCAGTATTTCCAAGTGGTCTTCTTTCCAAAGCAATGTGAGTTTTTCGGGATAAACGCAGTTGCTTTGAATTTCAAGATGGTTCAATCCTTGTAAACTGCACGTGTTTTTAGAGTTTTAATCAACTTTGTCTCTGTGAGACATAACCTATCCCTACTTTAAAATGGAGGTCACCTATGCGCACGTGTTGTCTTCCCTCGGCAGTCCCTCAGATGGTATTTTAAAAACAGTATTTCTAACATTCACCTTTGTTGGACATAGATTTGAATATGCTTAAGAGCCTCAATGACTATACAACGACAAAATTAAAACGTGCGGCGGTAAGGCTTTAGAAACGCTGCGGCGGTTATGATAACAATGACCTTAGAAGCTGTCAGAAACTTCAACTTGGCAAATCAAAGTTGATAAGAAAAGAACCATGAAATTTCGATTATACTTATGACTTTTTTCCCTGGAATGATTTCCCTTTCGAATCGAAAATTGATAAAATTTTGTTGCATCTTATTCAAATTATATCACTTCCATTTTTCGTGTTTTATTTTTCCGCTTTTGTTATTAATTCTTCTTGGTTAAGCTTTTCATTTTTTCATATCTATTTTAAATTTGAAAACATGTCTTCGTCTGCGAAATAATTAGCGATATGTGCTTGTCAGATGAATTAAGATATTGTAGGATTTTCCTGATTCAATACACGAACAGCAAAAGCAAAAGAAGATAGCGGTATCGGACATGAGGAAAATAGAGAGACCAGAGGATTACCCGTGAAATTGAAATCCTTTCGTGAAAAATAAGATTGTAATATCCCTTAGCATTATCTTAAGAAAAGATTAGCAGATCTTATTTGCGCACTTTTTATGGCTATGGACACACTAAAGCAATCAATTTTCCTGAGTCTTCGCCGAACGCGCATCCTCTGGGAGCCGTGACTCGGGGGGAATGAGCACGACCTAATAGGCAGCCCTAGAGCCCCCCAGCCCTGTCATGCAAAGATCAGCACGAGTCCACGGTTTTAACTCCCAAAGTTGCTTGGTAACAAAACGTGGCCGTCAATCACGTTGTGTTCGCGTGACACCCTAGGTGGTCTTATCTCACCCCATTAAATTTTCACCCGCCGTGTTCTGTCTTCATCATGCCAAGGTAGACTTGTCAAATGTATCCCTCGAATCGTCTTCCATCCTCCATCGAAAAAGGATTTTTACAATTCAACAGTCGCTTTTAACCAGGAGTTTCGAACTTCCAGTGGTCTCTATATAATAAAGCGAGCACTGTTGTTCAAAACGACACAAAAATAGAGCGTTTGCCAATAAATATTCTGAACGATAAATATTCCATTTTATGTCATGATATAACTCGGTGTTGATTGACAAACAAAGTTTATTCTTGTGAGGCAGTTATCCTCGCGCAGTTCACCGTTCTGGCGTAAATTACCTCAACATACAAAAACATGAAATATAAAATGTTTCATAATTGATACAAAGCAGTCTTTTCATCTCCTCTTCGTTAATAACACTTGACCAGGCATTTCAAAAACTCAAGTTATTTAGGGCGTCATGCGTCTTATGAAAGGATTTCAAGTTCTGAAACAAAACAGAAAATATTGGAAACAAAAAACGCGAGGCTTTGATGGAACCCGCTGAGAGCAGTTTTGTTATCGAACCTAAGCGAGGCGAATTTCATACTCAGTTAAGCCATAGCTTAAAGTCGCCACATCATACATTAAAAAATACAAAATTTAATCAGATTCGGCATATATTTTTTCGTCTAATACAAGCCAAAGTGTTTGTTTTTCATGGAGCAAATACCACAACCCCATTTAATACTATTTATATTCTGCCCTGGTTGACAGGTAGTTACCGAAATTGTACAACAGTCTGGCTAGCACGATTCAAATAATTATTCATTATACCCAAAACATATTCACTGCAAATAAAGATGACGATTACTTTAGCTTAATACTCAATACTTCAGACGATGAAAACTTTCCGCTAGTGGCACTAAAAATCAGCTCGCACAAAAGAAACTTAATATTCACGCCACACGAAGTTGAATCACAGCACGAAATGTAAATTATAGAATGTATTTCATTTTCTGAGTTTGTTTTTAACAACTATAAATAATGAGTGGTTGACCGAAAAAGAATCTGATTTTTTACGCGATTTAATTATCGCTTTTCATTTTATGCTTTGTCAAACACCTTGTGTTGTTTCCAACAAATCTTGGAGACGTTTTGATGTTGTTTCTTCAAAGTGTTCTTACATAACATGCAAATTTGTAGTGAATGAATCACTGACAGATGGTCCAAAGAAAAAGGTGATCATAACAAAAAAACATGAATATTTAAACACCAAATCGCTGATTATTTTTCAACCCGCGAAAGTTCCAGTGATTTATGCCTTTGGATTACAATATAGCAGGGACACTAAGTGAGTTAATTTTCACCCTGAGGTGCTTCGCGTGTTTTTCCAAGGTCGATTTTATCATGGCTTAATTTCATGTTCTCTCGATAGTCATGAATGGGAAGGGAAGCGTCGGTGTACCCATCAAATGGAAAATTGCTGTCACCGTTCTAGTCTTATTGTGTGTGGGTTTGCTGATAGCTCTCGTCGTGGTTGCGGTAGATTTCACTCAGTACAAAGAAAGATATCCAAACAACCCGGAAACAAATTCGTGCGCCGAAAAAACCCTCGAATTTGGGGAAGTACCGAAGACTCAAAACATCTTTAACGAACTTTCCCGCGAAGAATTAATCGCTGCGAGGAATTTCATGTTGAAACAATCCTCATTGAAACTAAAGAAGATTGAAAATGCATCCGTGAATGAAAGCTATATTTTCATGATCCAGATGTACCCGCCTGCCAAACAAGCAGTCCTGGATTACTTAGAGAAAGGAAGGCCGCGGCCTGCCAGAAGAGCGCTTGTTGTTGTTTTCAAAGGTGATTCCAACCTACCAGTGGTCCGAGAGTACATTGTAACATGGCCGAACAGCACCGTCAAGGAAATGACGTACGAAGAACGCGGCAATCCTCTTGAGTTCAACGTTCGTCCTTATGATCAAGTACAACACAAGGCCTTAGAGAAGATTGTTATAGAAGCCACAACCAAGGCTTTTAAGATTTTAAATGACAGTTATGACGGATACTGCTATAATAACTGTACAAACAGGCTCTTAAAATTTCACCCACAGGAACCCTTTGGCAAAGATAGGGACGAACGAACAACGTGGCTGCAATTCACTCGCGATCTAGAGGGGGAATCGCTGAACCCAGTCGATTTTCAACTCTACATAAATTTTGCTGGCGCGGACGTGTCGAAATGGAAAGTGGACAAAGTGTATTACAATGGATTCGCATACAACACCGTCGATGACCTTTTATTTCATTATAACAAACCGTCAGGTATTCAAAAATCGTTCATCCCCGCGCCAAAACCACCTTTATTTTCATCGTACGAAAATCGTGGAATCCCCCAATCCCAGAGTTCCAGGCGAGCCCCGAGGATGTTTGAGCCTGATGGGAAAAGATTTGCTGTCAGCGGTCACCATATTAAGTACATGAGTTGGACCTTCGACTTTCGAATGGATTCAGTTTCAGGTCCTCAACTCTACGACATTCGATTTAAAGACAAAAGAATAATCTACGAACTCAGCTTACAGGAAGCCATTTCATTTTACACTGGCTACTCCCCATACTTTAGGGTTGCCAATTTTGTGTATGGTGGATGGACAATGGGTAGAAGATCTTTAGAACTAGTGGCCGGCGTCGACTGTCCAGAGACATCCAAGTTTTTCGACACGCTGCATTTCGTGGACACCAACGAACCGGAAGTAGTCAGGAATGCGGTGTGCGTTTTTGAAATGGACAGCGGTATTCCTCTAAGGCGCCACTTTGAAGCGAATGGAAAACGATTCAGATTTTATGAAGGAATAACCAGTCATGTGTTAGTAATTCGCACCATTGCCACTTTGCGCGGTTATGACAACGTCTTCGATTTTGTGTTCTATCAGAATGGCGTTGTGGAGGTAAAATCGACACCCACCGGCTACATAAAAACAGAGAACGGCCAAACAAGCCTCGATGACCCATATGGGGAAGATATCGAGAGCAAACTGCTAGGAAACTTACACGAATGCATATTCCATTACAAAATTGATCTTGATGTCTATGGTACCTCCAATTATTTTGAGAAAATCTCGATCAGCAAAGACGACAAATTAAATAAATGGCTTCCGCCGCAAAGAGAAAATCTAATGGTATTCCGCCGTGAACAGCTAAAACTGGAGCTTGAAGCAGCGA